TTCCTGACAAAAAGTACATTTCCATAAGGATTGAATAAAAAAGATAAAAAAATAAGCCTAGAGAAACAAAACACTTGTTCATCTTGGGACTAGAAAATGCACACTTTGGAACATGAGTATTTTTGTCACTGAATCAAACTCCCAAGAATAACTGCATAAACATCACAGAATGCAGCTTGGGTTCAAACACATTTTGCAGCATAGTAATTTTAAAACATGAAATTAATGAGGACTGAATTATGCACAAGATTTCAACACCCTGGCATTAGAAGTCCAGGACAGTGCATACTTTACAGACTTTCACTTGTTTGTGAGGTGCTACTTTAAACCAGCAAGGATGTTGGTCTTCTTTTATATGTGCAGTAAATAACAAAAAGTACTTGTATATGTTTTAAAATTTCCCGAACCTTATGGACAATAACCAAGCCTAATTCAGACACACATAGAAATAGGTTGATTAATATTCATATATGCAGCACATTGGATAAGAGAAACAAAGAATTAGATTCTAAGTAGAAAATAATAACATTAAATTAAGAAAATACATAAAAATAAGTAAAATAAACCCAGGAGAGGATCCATAGAGGAAACCCTTGGCAGGAAGTGGAAACCACTGATGGCAAACAGACCTATTAGGTTAAGTCTGACCCTCTTGGGTTCTGATGTCCACCTTGTGCCCTCACCAATACCTGTGAGCTTACACTGATGTCTCCTCACAGTGTGTCTGGTAGAATACATACATGAGTCTGTCATCTGATGTCAGGATCCTCAGTAGTAAGGAAGTGTGGATCTGTGGTGTCTCTCTGTTATTGTTTGCTCTGTATTTAATAACTGGATTACAGCTTATCTTCCAACACCCAATGTGGCAATGGTCCAATAATGAACTTTCATGCAGCCTTATGAAGCAGAGGATATGGTAACTTACAAAAGTGAATCCAGATACAGAGCAGGTGAGGGACAGTATCTGTGAGGGATTCAGTAGTACATGTTTTGAATCCTGCATCTGAACCTGGTACAGGACACCAAAGAATAAGGAGCATCAACATCATTCATACACCAGAAACCCCATGCCCAGATCTCTTTCCTGAGATCCCTGTGCTCACTTCGTATTTCATACAATAATACATGGTAATGTGTTCTATTCATTTTCAGATATAGCACTTCTTGTCATTATCACTGAAAATGAAGAATCTCCCTTTCACTGATGCATTGTCTTCTCTTGTATAGGCATTGAATTTGTTGCTTGTAAAAGCAACCCACTCCAGTTCCTCCCCATAGGTTTGCTGGATTCACATAATGTAGTAATCACTGACCAATTACAGGAGAGTAATCACAAAAATCACAGGAGAGTCTCAGGCCCTCCCAGGCTGCACCAAATGACCTCCAGTCTCTGCCAGCTGCACCTTACACTGGACACCTGCAAATACAGAGAAGCTTGTTCAGGAAACTTGTCACACTTACCTACTTTTCCTCTCACTCTTGTCCACTCACACACTCAGAATCTCTCATTATCCATAAGGCATCTTTTAAAATAGCAGCAAGGTAAATCCAGCTCAACCCCAACTCCATGCCAAGTGATCTTTGTTCAGTTCTGATCACTGAATGGATCTACTGGAAATCCAGATCTGGGTTCCTCTTCCAGAGTTGCCAGAATAAAATGGCCTGGTTTTTATGAGAAGAAGGAGGCTGTATTTGCATGTCTTCCTACCTTATAGAAAGATCTCTGTGGACGTTTCAGTGATGAAAGTGCCCAGAGAAGATGTGAAATTTCATGGCATAGTGTGGCAGAATGTCAGCATTTAAAAAAAAGAATTATTAAAACCAAAACCACAGATTGCTACTCCTTGGAACCACTTTTGCAAAGAGTGCTGTGAGTATCTTGGTCCTGTGTCTTACTCTCAGTCAGGTAGTTCACGCCTAATCCTCCACACCCTCCTCCAGCTTGGTCAGAGTCGTAGTTATGGAACCCTGTCAGATATTACATCTTTCTCAGATCATGCATGGCTTTACACACAGGCCTAAAACTCTTGGCAGGAGTCTAGATTCTCAATGAATCATCAGAAATATTCCATCAGATATAATGTTCTTATTTCCTGAAATTTCTGTACAGCTTCACTGTTTGCCCACTGGTCTAAAACAGGGAACAAAAAGAACTATGGCCTAGGAGAGAAGAGGAGTTCACCTAGTCACTTAGTAACACTGTCCATAGTGGTGTGTAATTACATTGTATTTAACAGACCACAGGCTCAAAATAAAAGCATATTGGGTATTTAATGAACAAAATAACATACTTTAATATTAGATATATTTAAAAGGTAACATTGTAATTTTTAATAGTAAAGCAGGTGGAAATATGTGGAATGGTATCAGTAGTAAAGAAAAATTACTTGGGATAGTGTGTGAGGATTTCCCTCATTGTTACCAGCACCTGATAATCAAAAGATTTATTGACTCTTCACTCTGCAGGTTCCAGTCCATGATGGGAAGACCAGAGCTTCCAGTCATTGGTGGGGGTGACAGAAAGCAATGACACTTAGTGTGTGAGGAGGAACAAACCCCTCATATCCTGTCCAGGTATGCAAAGAGAGAAAGGAAGAGACCAAAACCTCACAGCCACTTTCAGTGAACCAAAACCTCTAACTAGACTCCACTTCATACATTTTTCACAAAACCTATAAAAACAGGTTGGGGAAAACATTATAGCACAAGGGACTTTGGGAGACTTTCAGATACACATGTAGGCATAGAACAATGTTAATATGAAGAAAAATGTCTCACCTCAATTTAATTCTACATAAAATCACTGATATACTAAACTAAATGTCTGTGATAATTTATGGATGAATGTTAAGAAAAGCACATGTACAAAATAAAATCAATTTTAAAAAACAGTTTATCTGAGAAGATTAAACAATTGGCACTTGGAATAGCAGCCAGTCCTTCCATGAGTTGAGAAGACGTTACCTGTGCTGACCTCACCTATGCCATAGAACACTCCACACCACATGGTGCCTCAACCCCTTGTGGATCTTGGACATCGAGTGCCTCCTCAGATACTTGAACCATTGAAACCACATGCATTTCTTATGCTTTTTCTGTGTGAAATCAAGACAGACATCAAGATAGAGAAAAACAGTCATCTGCTTGAAATCTGGGGATAAGGATCTAGAATCCCACTGTTAGAAAAGCACCCCACGAACAATGGACAACGTAGATGATGATTAATCAGATCTCATTAGACACCTGTGCAACATTGGCTTATTGAACATATATCTGTGTAACACTGAAAATGGAATTGGGTGAAAATCAGGTGCGATTTCCAATGCTTGGCTGTGACATGAGCTCTAGTCACTGGGGACAAAGGTAAGGTAGTGATCAAACACTCACCAAGCCCATTCACTGATCACTGTCTTCAAACACACTCTCATGGTCTTGTCTACCATGGAGCTCTGAAGCTAGGAACATCTGGAAATCCTGTAACTGAGGGGAGTGAGCTTTGGGAGGTGCCCTGTGGTCTGCAGATGTCTGGGCCCCACATGAGGCAGGACTGCCCTGGAGTGGAGCCTGTGTGACCTGGAATCATATGTGTACAAGATCAATAACCCTGTAGGGTGTCACACACCTCCCTGTAGTGTCCATGGCAGAATGGACACATGATATGGTACTTAGGGAATGATGAGTTTAGTGACCTGAGAATGTAATTTTCAGTGACTCTCTTTTTGTCCCTGGAAATGAGGGGACAATAGCAGGAATTTAGCAGTACTCCCATGACATCAGGCATTATGGATCACTGTATTCTGAATTCAGATGTTAAGAGAGAGGAGATGGTGGAGTTTGGTCCTTTGGATGTTCAGGACAGGAGATAGTGGGCAGAAAGCAGGGCTCCATCCATCTCTCTCTCATTATCCACTTTAATTCTCCATGTGGACGCTGAGGAACTGGTCTCAGCACATAACCACCAGGGATGCTATCCGAACCCCACACTGAAAATGACACAGGGGAGATGGCAGTGGTCTTCATCTCTGTGCTTGTCTTTTAGCCGCTTTCCTGGAAATCTCAGAGCTGTGTTCTCAGCTCTTCTGGAATCCTTCTCCATACAAGGACCTCAGAAATGAATGGAGAAATGAAACCCTGAACATCAAGGGATGCAGTGTGCATCTGGAGCAGGAGAGTCAACAGCCCAGGGAGCACAGGGACCTGAGCAGCAGAGGTGGTGTGGACTCACACTGCCCACCTAAGACAGGTGTTCTTCTGTGTGAGGGAAGAGGCTCAGGTAAGGGCATTGTGGACTGGGCTGGTGATTGGTCCCATCTTATCCAAAACCAGAAAAACTCACCGCATCCTTTACCAAAATAAAAGACATCCATCTAGGTTTTGAGAATAGAGACTACATTCTCCACTAAGGATGACAATGAATAACAGAGAGAAGTGAGAAAGAAACTCAAGGAGAAAAAGTTGGATTTGTTGAAATAGACAATCTGAGCATTTCTTGGTGTGCTGGGTCCATTTATTCATGAGGACGAGGGTGAGATTTAAATGTGTCTTTCTGTAAAAATAAAGGTTTTTATCAGTGCATAAAAATTAGGGACAATAATAATTTCATTGTGGTGTTTTAGTATGTGAATATAATGTACTTTGCTCAGGTAGACCCTATTACACTCTTTCCATTTCTCCCTCGTTCCATTCTCACTTTTTTGGGGACACTCACCTCCACTCCCATCTCATCTTTCATTTAACTTTTTTTTTACCCTAGATTCTATTTATGAGAGTAAACATGCAATTCTTTTGTTTTTTCTTAGTCTGGCTTATTTCCCTTACAAGAAGCACAAAAGACCACACGTAAAAATATTATATTCTACTTTAGGAAGATCAGTGGAAAGCACAGAAACAAGAAACCAGAATCACCTATGAGAAACAGTCCTTTGCAGTGGAAGCCCCAGACCCTGACAGGAAACCATCACTTAACCTCGCTCTGCACCTGCACATGGCTGACCCTGAGCTCAGTGTGTCCTGCGCGCCCCCTGCTGGTTGTGAGAATCCCTGCAGGGAGATTTGTGTCTGGGCTCACACTGAAGATCACACACTGTGTCTTCTGCACAGTAATACGTGGTGGTGTCATCGGCTCTCAGGCTGTTCATTTGCAGATACAGTGTGTTCTTGGAATTGTCTCTGGAGATGGTGAATCTGCCCTTCACGGAGTCTGCATACTTTGTGCTACCACCACTACCACTAATGTGTGAGAGCCACCCCAGCCCCTTCCCTGGAGTCTGGCAGACCCAGTACATGTAGTAACCACTGAAGGTGAATCCAGAGGCTGTACAGGAGAGTTTCAGGGACCCGCCAGGCTGCACCAAGTTTCCCCAGCTGCACCACACACTGGACACCTGCAAACACAGAGAATCCTGGTCAGGAAACTCTCACATATGTCCATTCTTCCTCTGACTCATGTCCACTCACACATTCAGCATCTTATTCTCCAAAATCACCTTTTAAAATAGCAACAAGGAAAACCCAGATCAGCCTCAACTCCATGGTGAGTGATCTGTGTTCAATGCTGATCACTGAATGGGATCAGGTGGGAATCCAGGGCTGGGCTCTTCTTCCAGAGCTGCAGGGTCAGGGCTGGGCTGTTTTTGATGAGCAGAAGCAGGCCATATTTGCATGTCCTCCTGCTATATAAGAAGCTCTGGGTGGAAATCCCTGAGGGTAGTGTAAGAGCAGATCTGAGAGTCCTGGCAAAGATTCTTAAAATGAGTAAATTAATGAAAGAAAAGTGTATACTTAGTGGGTAACCAGTTGGAGGGGCAATTGGAAAAGGACAGAGATAATGGAGGTGAAAAAAATACTTTATACTCATGTATGAAGATAAAGTAATGAAATATGTTAAAATTGTTTGAAAATAAGGAGTGGATGATCAGATAGAGTAATAGATGGGGTGAATTTGTTCAAATACATTATATGCATACTTGTAAATACAAATGAAAGCCCTTTTAATTAATAAACATTTTAAAAACTAAAGAAAACATGAAGTCTCATTATATGATTATTAAACATTATGAACTCATCATCTTTTTTAATGTTTTGCACATACAAAAAACTTGCAATTGAAATATTAAATTTATCTTCTTTTAAAATATGTGAAAGTATAAAAATGATTACAAATGTTTCTGTAATGTGTATAGAAGTTCATGAAATGTGGGATATCCCATGCATATGGTTCTGTGATTTTTACAAGCTCCTCAAACTGCTCCCTAAAGCCACCCCTGGACACAGTGAAGCAAACCTGGTGAGCAGTGCAGATCCCCTTTTCTGTGATGAGCACAGGTGTGACTTTCCTGCATTTTAGAGTTTACTAAAAGGAAAAAGAGAACCAGGGTTCAGGCAGATGCATGATTTTGAGTCTCTGGCATATCCTGTCACTGTTTATCACAGTCACTTTTTGTACATTAATATGTTATCTCTATGTAGAAAACTTACTGTTCTTTTAGCACAGGATGTAATAAACTGCACATTTATAGAGAGCATGTTTGAAGATGCTGATAACATGGACACTTGCTCACCATCAGCAGAAATGGGAACCCATATTCAATCCCATTTGTGTCTTGGATTCCTCTGTAATCCCCCTCCTACCTTCCCTCCCCTACCTTATCTGCAAACAGCTCATGGCCTTTATGATGTGTTACATTTATCTTCATTTTTCACAATTTATAGAACTATAACATGAATTATATACTTTTAAGTTGTTTTTTCATTTTTAAATAATAATGATCATTGAAAATCCCTCCATGTTTGTTTTATGCTCAGAAATTTCACAATAGATGAAACATTTAAACTAACTTTTGTCAATTGCCCTGCTAATGGGTGTTGAGATAATTTTTAAGTTCAGTTTATGACATACTAAGCTGTTATTCAGGTTGTAGAGATCTGACAAAAGTTGCTCCTATTCTGACAGCAAAGACAACAACCATATTGAACTGGACTAACTGCCAAACAAGAACTTAACACCTCAAATACCTGACAGGAGTAAGGGACACACAGAGGACATGGATCATGGAGACTTGGGATATTCACAACACCGTCCTGCCCTCAATTCCTGCACTGCACATCAGCGATCAGAAGTAGTATCCCTGGGGCAGAGCTCACCAGACACCTTATGAGGGATATGTAGTTTGCATTAGATGTTGTTTATGGATTACTACAGGACAAGTGTGCTGGGATACCAACATGTGAATGTTCCATGGTACACAGACTCATGGGGTCTTTGAACTTTTTATTGCTATACTAAAGACCTTATAACTTGTGACCTACAAATGGAACAATTTCATCTCTCATGTCTCTGCAACTGAGTCCATGAAGAAGACAATGGCAGATTTCTTGTAGGTCAGTTCTGGCTCCCTGTTTTTAATTTTCATAATATTTGTATCTTCACATGGCAAAAGAGAGGCTCACTATGTCTTCACATTGCATAAGGAAACAAAAGAGGTCTGTTTCCTCTCACAAGCCCTGTTATAGGACTACTAATTACATATAAGAAAGTAGATTTCTCTGGACTAGATTCACATTGCTGTAGGAGATGGATCCACAAGCCTGGCAGCCTTAACTATAGTCTGATGTGTGCACATGACACAGAGGCCTTATGCATGTGAGTGGGTTTCCTCAGCTCTTCTTGGCTGATTTTGCATAATGAAGCCTGTGCAGGGCTGGTTTTTTAGCAGCATTACCACCCTCAAATGTTCTTTATATATTTTCCCAGTTGAGACTCTCTGGATTGGTCCTAAACTTACAAAATTGCAGGCATTTCTCCTGTGGAGGCTCTCCGTACTGTATCTTCCTCATTCCCTAAGGCTATATGCACACCCTTTGAAACCTAGATGGTAGATTCTGTACACTTACAACTCTAGGATTCTGTGGACCTGCAGAGTGAGCACCAGATGGGCACCATCAAGGATTTTGAGTTGTGCCCTCTGCCAAGACAACTATCAAAGTGCAAGCTATACCTGGACACAGTGGAACCTCAGCAGGGAGACTTTGGTCAGTGGTATGAGATCAACTGCAGTGGATCCAGTACAATGAACCACGAATTCACACAACTGCTCTTAGCCTTCTGCTATGCTGTTGTACTTTCATAATTCTGTTCTCTGGTATTGTGATGGGGTGATAGCTTCTGAAAGAGTTTGGGTCAATCTCTGATTTTCCTGATAAACAGGCCCCTGGGTCCTGTCCACACCAACCTTCTCATCACCAGTTCGCTTACCCAAGGCCTGTTTGATCTCTTCCACCATGATTTCTCTCCTCCTCATTCTTCACTATGTGTACAGGATGATAATTTTCCATATCTGTAAGTTTGCCGTCCATTTGGCTTAAATTCCATGCTTGTCCTGTCTGTCTTATTTGTTTTATATAAGCAGTAGGGGAAAGCAGTATCATCTACTCTCTCTGTGCTTAGAGATCCTCTCTGTCACATGTGCTGTCACACTGCCTTAGTTTCTGACACCTACAATGTACTAGGACTTTAAAACACTTCAGCCATGCTATGTGTCACTTTATACCAAGGAATTCCTGTCCTCCAGTTCCCAATAACCTTTCCTCACTTCCATCTGAGACCTCACCAGAACCGCCTTCATCATACATATTTTAGCCCATATCTGGATCATGATCATCTAGATATTGTCTTTATGCCTCACCTCACAGAGTTTCAGTTAATGATGAGCTACATACAAAATCATAGTCTCATAAGAGTTCAAAGGACCTGAAAAATTCTTGCAAGGATAAATCATTCTGTGCAAGGAACCTTCCTTTGGTAGGAATGATGGCTGTCAGCACTTGCATCCTTAAGAAGATACACAGTCACTGCAAGCTTTCAATGTTTTTAAGGAAATGATATCAGTTTTCCTTGTGTTGATGATGCAGGTTTCCTCTGAATCCCTTTCTGATCTGGACCACTGAGAATCCACACTGACTTCTTGGCCATTTCTTCTCAGTCTCGACAGCCCTCTGCCAGTAACTTGGGTGACACGGGGCTATGTGCAGACACTTTGGTACAATTCTTAAAATTCTTCACAGCAGTAGCTGATGAGAAGTCCTCTGAATCTATCAGGTTGTCACTGCAGTTTCATAATAAACACATTTCCAGGTCCACGCAACCCTACAGCAACTCAATCACCATGTACAGTTGTTTCTGGCAGAAGGAAGAGTGATGAATTTGCGTGGGAGTAGTATATAGGCTCAGTGTTACTCATATAATATCCCTCTTCAAAGAATCTATTGGTGAAGGAAGGAAGATGCATCTGGACCAGGCAATATCTGGAAACTTAGATCAGACCCATGTAGATTCTAGAATCTCACCTGGAGTAAAACCTTCCATGACATATAGGTGGAGAAAATGAAGTTTATTTTACTGAGGGAAGATGCAAGGCATGGTACTGCAATCTAGGGTGGAAGAGGACCGGAGCAAGTGGAGAAAGTGCTAGAGCTCTTTTCATTTGAGCCATGGAAGAAAAATCTAGATGGTTCTTATGAGTTGTGCTATGATATTTGACAGTTTTGATTTACTCTGCTCCTGCATTTAAGCTAGGTCTTAGGTATTTCAATTTCATGTGTGGTATGTGATCAATAATTTTGTTTTAAGCGAAGGATTGGCATTTGAAAACAGCTCTGCCACTGCAATTATGAAAGGACAGATGAGGCCTAGTCACCAATACTTTTTATTCCCCTATTTTAGCATGCCTCACATCCAGTCACATAAAGTATTTTTCAAATCTTCCAACTTCTATGTAAAGTTTTAATTAACTCACTCAATCATTTCATCTCTGGAATTCCACAACAATATTACATTTTCAGACTCCTGAAAAGGTTTATGAATTAACAAACTCCATGAACATCTTCTCTGCACACAAGCCTTTAACCTACATGGTTGCATGTGATCTGGTCCATAATGGACCCTGACTAGCACCTGAGCTACCTTACTCTCTTGGGACTGTGAAGGATCAAAGCACTGACTGCCTTCTGACATCCCTCATTCTGTGCAGAAGACAGAAGGCCTGGCCCTGCCCACAGCTCTGGACTGATTGCAGAGGTGGTGCTGGTGCAATCCCAGAACAGAAAGAAAAGACTTTCAGACTATTTCCACTCAGATACCTCCTCCTTCCTATGGGGATAAAGTCTACGAAGTCAGGAAGATTTTCCCAACATCGTAGTCCCTTCTGTACTTTTTTTCCCAAGGGAGTTTCCTAAAAATATACATAATGCAATCCAAGACCATGCTTAGAATCTTGCTCTCAGTGTACCCCAATGACACAGTCATTGTCACAAATTTATTGATTATATGAACTGGATTTTATTGAAAAACATCACATATAAATAGCAGTGTGTAATGATCATCTGTAAGAGTCAACTTGTCAGGTTGCAGATCCACTAATCCACCCAACACTAAGCATAGAATTGCAGTGAAGGTTTTGGAGACAGTGTTAGTCTGTGGTCTTCAGTTCTCTCCTCTGAGTCAGGGAGGTTTCCCTAGACAACCTGGTGTTGGT